AATTCGGCCTAACAAAGAAAGTTTCAATTTTGACCAACTGTCTAAGTCTCTCTTAATTTCTGTCCAACATTTTTCATAATTATCCTTAAATAGACTTAGATTTTTGCTGTTATGTTTACCCCTAGGTATTTTACTTTTTAACCACATTAAGTTCCGTCTCATTCTGAAACCGTTCTGACTCTGTCTCAGTCAGATTTTTCCCCAAAACCTTAGTTTTCTGTTTGTTTAATTTAAATCCCGCCACCCGACCAAAATCATTAATCAATTGTAATACTCTTTTCGTACTAGGCTCTGGCTTCTGCAAGGTCAAAACCAGGTCATCTGCAAAAGCTTTTAATTTATATTGTTTCTGACCAACCTGAATTCCTTCCACCAGCTGGTCCCCTCTAATCATGTTCAATAGCACTTCCAGGACCGAAATAAATAACAAAGGGAAATAGGGCAACCTTGTCGTGTCCCTTTTTCAATTTTGAACTCTTCTGTAACCACATTATTAACTATCAGTTTTGCTTTCTGTTCTGAATATATCGCCTCGATCCCATTCTCAAAACCCCGTCCCACTCCCATCTCTTTTAAGTTTCCCATCATAAATTTCCAAGAAATGTTATCAAAGGCCTTCTCCGCATCTATAAAAATTAAAACAGCTTTTGTATTTATGTCAGTTTGGAGAAGTTCCAAAATATCAATAATGTTCCTTGTGTTAGCAAACAAATGTCTACCTGGGAGAAAACCGGCCTGGTCCTTATGAATTACTTCATTTAAAACTTTTTAAATCTACTTGCCAAAATATCTGCAAATATTTTGTAATCCACATTTAAAAGGGAGATGGGACGGTAGTTCTTCAGTTGTGTCTTTTCAGTTTCTGACTTTGGTATCAATGTGATAAACGCTTCCTTCCACGAATCCGGTGCCCTCTTCCCCTCCATAATTTCATTGCTAACCTCCATCAAAGGTTGTATCAAATAGTCTTTTAGTATCTTGTAATACTTGGAGGTCAGCCCGTCTGGCCCTGGAGATTTGCCAAGTTGCATGTTCTGAATAGCTTGTTCAATCTCCTGTCGTGTTATTTTAGAGTTCAGGATTGTCCTATTTTCTTGTGACAGTTTAGATAATCCATTTTTGGCAAAAATTGTTTAATCTCAACTTCGTCTTGCGGCCCTTGGGTATATAATTTTTAAAATATCTCTGGAAACACTTTCTAATGTCCACTGGATTCTGAATGTTTCTTCCATCAACCTCTAAATTTGTAACCGTGTTTAATCTTTGTCTTCTCTTCAACTGCCAGGATAGCAGTTTTCCACATTTATTCGCCGACTCAAACGTTTTTGTTTCATTAATTTGATCTTCCATTCAATTTCCTGATTTATCAATTTAGAATACTGTGTTTGGTACAGTTTAATTTCTCTCAGAGTTGGCTGTGACTTTGGATTCACTCTTAATTTCTTCTCTAATTCTTTTATTTTATCCAAAATCTTGTCTTTTTCTCATTTTGTGTTTTTTTCTTTACTACATTCTGTTGTATCAGGAATCCCCTCATAACAGCTTTGCTTGCGTCCCAGACGATTCTTTTTCCACCGAATTGTTCATATTTATCTCAAAATAATCTTTCAAAACTTTTTGGGCCTTCTTGGTAATTTCCTGATCTCTAAACAAATTGTCATTCATCTTCCATCTAAAGGATCCAGTTGGTAGTAGTGTCATGTCCATCTTTACTGCGTTGTGGTCAGAACAGGTCTTTGGGCAGATTTCCACTTTTCTAACCCTAGGTGCCAGGCCTCTAGAGATCCATATTTGGTCGATTCTTGTCCAGGTCAGTTGGGCTTCAGAAAAGAATGTTCCTTCTCTACCTAGTGGGTTCTTTGTTCTCCAAATGTCGATCAAGTCCATATTGTCAGTCATTTCAAAAGGTTTTAGGTAGTCTGCCATCTTTTGTGATGTTTTGACTTTGCGACTTGTCCATGTTAGTTGACACGACCCCGTTCATGTCTCCCATCATTATGATGTTGTTGTAATCCAGATGATCCAGCATTGTCCCCTGCAACTTCTTGTAAAATTCCGATTTCCCTTCATTAGGCGCATAGATTCCTAATATCAGCAGTTTCTCTCCTTGATATTGTATCTCAATAGCCAAAATCCTTCCATGCTCATCTTTAAATAGAAATTTAGGTGACAGGCTCTCTTTTGCATATATCACCACTCCTCTCTTCTTCACTTTATCCGACGAAATAAATTCCTGGCCCAATCTTTTATTTATTAACACTTTTCTGTGGAGCCTCGTCACATGTGTTTCTTGTAAGCAAATAATGTCCAATTGTTCTTTTTTTAATATATGAAATATTTTCTTCCTTTTCTCCGGAATATTGCAACCATTAATATTCCAGCTCAACAGTTGCAGAGACATCCTGGATCTATCTGGTTATTTCTCCTGGGGTGGTGTCTTCTCTTGATCTTCAAGTTCCCGAGGTGGAGGTATTGATGCTGGCTTTGCCTCAGGCCCGGAAGGTAGTTCAATTCCTTTATGTAGGTCCTCTCCGTGTGTAGCCAAAAATTTATCTCTCTCTTCCAATGTTCTAATTTTAACCTTTCTCGCTCTAAAGGTAAAAGATAATCCTTGGGGAAAATCCCACCTGAATGGAATTGCGTTGCTCCTTAATAGTTTAGCAAGTTCAGAATAGGCGGCTCTAAGGTCCAACAGTTGTCTTGGGATATCTTTATATATCTCAATTCTTCTATCCAAAACTTCCAGTGACTTTTCGTAATGTAGGCCCAAAATCTTATCCCTTTCCTCCTTCGATCTCAATGTAATCAAACAATCCCTGGGCCTCTCCTTCTTTATAAATCTTCCAAGTCTGAAAGCTGACACAATTTTAAAGTCCTTTTCTTCCAAATTCCAGAACTTGGAAAGTTCTTTGGTCAAAAACTCAGTTAGATTTCCTTCTTCTGCCTCTTGTAATGATCTAATCCTCAAATTATTCTCACGATTTCGCAGTTCTATCATAGAAAGATAAGTCTGATGTTCCCCAACTTGTTTAGTGAGTGGTCTTACCTCTTGCTCTAAATTTTCCAATTTTTGTCTGGTATCCTCAGCCAATTTTCGGTTTTCTACTGAGGCCTCCGTCAACTGTCCAATTGCTTGTGTATTCTGTCCCACCTGTGTAGTTAATTTGTTTAGACAATCTGTATTTTTATCAATCTTTGCTGATTGCGCATCTACTTTCTTGTCCAAAGCTTCCAATTTTTCAAAGATTTTTTCTAGCACAGAAACAGATGCTCCTGAGGCCATATCTTCCAATTGTAACTGCTCTACTTCACCCTCTCCCTCTTTTGCCTGTAGCAAGGCAGCTTCTTCAAGTTGTACTTCTGAGGGCAAAGTAGGCACAGATGATCTACGTGTCTGCGAGGCTGAGGTTAGATTTGTTAGAGTTGTTTGTCTAACTCTTCCTCTTCTTCTTGTACCACTCATTCCAATGTTATCTATCAGTCAAGGTCACACTGAGTTTTTCCCACAGGAATAGAGAGGCCCAGAGCATGCAGACAACAAGAGAATCGAAAGTAAATGTTTTTATAAAGTCACTGTTTTAATCCAATCCTCTAGAGGGAGCTTAAAGTGTCTTTTCAGAGTCTGATTTAATGTCCCAGAACCTTCCAATATAAGTATTAAGCAGAGTTTAAAAGTAATCACTTTGTTGCAGACAGTGCTTATTTGTCTCCAAAAGAATGTTTCAAATTTAAAAGGTCTCAATACCCTCAGATTGTTGCAACTTCTGATATACAGTATCCAAGTCAAACACTGACAGCCCACTGTTACAGTGCTCAAGCAATCCTGACTCTGGGTTACACCTTCCAATTTGTAATCCAATAAAAGGGGGAAAGTCAAGTGCAAATAAAAGGTCCAAATCTTTAACTTGCTAATTTTACTTTAAATTGTGAGTTCCATAGATGCTTGGCTGTGTAGAGTTTAAAATCTCTTTCTTTCAGCCTCCACTCCTCCACTTTAGTTGCTTTTTTTCCAAGTTCAATGGGAGCGGAAGACGGACTTCCTGTTTCCACGTCTCTCCGCTTTCAGCCAAATTCAAGTCAATTTAAACCTTCTCATTTAAAATTTGTAATTCCAAGTGATTCAGTCTTTACTCACGAGTAAGTTGTTTTCTTCCAGATCCGAATTTTAACAGGAAAAGGGATCAGCGCTCACCGGCAGCAGCAGCGCGGCTTCACTCCGCTGACTGTGAAACGGCTCACAGCGCCGCAGCCCCCCTCCACGCTCCGGAGCCTCTTACGAGGCTCCTTCTGCAGTTGGAGGGCTGCTCTTGGCGCCCGCCGAGCCTCAGGACCCCAGGCTCTTGCTGCCTGGGGGTTTTCTCGTTGGGTCTCCGCTTCGCCGTAGCGGACGACCCGGTTTCAGCGGAGCTTCTTCTCCGGTCGGGAGAAGACCGCCATTACCGTTCGCGCCGCCCCCCGGAAGTATTTTCACTTAATTTGAATTTCTGCCTCAAGCCCCAGATTGCTTGGGTCTGTACTTTAATTGGAGGGGGACAGTACCATCTCCCTAGAGCTATGATTATTCATGGCATGACTCACTGCCAAATGGGAATATCTCTGTGTGCTGAGTAATTACAGGGCTCTTTTTAAGCGTTCAGAGGCTTATTGTACACTTTTCTCAGGAACTGTGAAGCCTCGATCAGATAATAAGCGAGAGCACCAATCACTTGCTTGAGAAGGAGAGTAGGGCCTGGATTCAGACCTTCTCCATTCAAATAGTTGATTTGAACTTTTGCTGATCATTTGGATCGACACCAGTTATTACAGAAACGCATGAATCTTGCATTTCTATCTAAATTCAGGTTGGGTTGGGGTTTTTTCCACACTGATAAATTTGGCTTCTGAATGAATCTGTTTTTTCCCCATTCGCTCTTTACAAACTAGGCACATATTCTTCATGGTTTTCTTTTTTTCCAAGCAATAAAATCTTACATAAAGAAAGTCTTCCCAGCAATTGTATGAGCGCCTTGCATTTCCTAGTTCCAAAACAAAAAGAAAACACATTGTTTGACTTCTCCATTCTTCGTTTCACCTCCTTATGGATCTGACCATCTGCATCACTTGGGCTTCCAAGACTTAATAACTCATTAACCTTGACATATTCTCAACTTATCAACCACATAGCAGCTTTAATCATTCCTCTCTCATCCATTGTGACTGTCATGTATTGGTGGTGCATCTCTTCAGCGGCATCCTCATATTATTATTTGTTGTTGTTGTTTCAGGAAAGACAAAAAACATAACGTGCTTATGACTCTCAGCTGACTAATGAGATTTAAGATAGGATTTGAGAACTTGTTATCATTATCCTGAGATAATTGTGCTCGAGTCTAGCCCCATCCTGTTGGCTAATTTCTCTCTCTCTCTCTCTCTCTCTGAACCAAAAGAACACACCCCAAACTAAGAAAAGCCTCTCCTCCCTCCAGAGGGGAGGGATTGTGAGCGGGAGATGATTCTGCCCCCTGCCCCTTGTCACCGCTGGCGCGCCACGCCTCCCAGTTGGGCACCCAATCGGGTGACACTGCGGGGGCGTGGTTTAGCCGCTCAAATCTGGCTGCGCCAGCTCTCCCCGCCATTGCGCTCCTGATCATCCACAAGTCACCTACCCACCACTCCCCGTAGGGCGTAGCTTCTTGCTTGGCCTTGCTATAGACCCATGGTTGGTCGCCCTGGTTGCCCAGGGTGCCTGGTAGGAGTTTTTTCCAATTGGCAAATTGGCACCGGCCTCTTGGTTTTTTTCGCCTACCTCGTAGCAATCGTCACAACTTTCTTGGTATTTGGCGGTTAGGCATTGGAATGTGTTGTTGGTGTATGGAAGGGCAAGGTGTGACCATCGCTTACCCCTTCACTTTTGGGTATTCTGTTAAAGGAATCCGGTGGTCGTGGATCCTGTCCGATGCCCTGTGTGGCGGGGGGCCATGGCACAACCCTCGGTGACATCGGGGAGAGCTTATAGTTGTATTTGCATCGACAGGCTCCCCCTACTGGTGGTTAACCCCTCATCATTCTCACCCCTCTCCGAGTGGGTGGAGTCAAATTTTCTGTGGTCCAATGCCTAAGCCAATACCTTCTCACATGCTGTAATCAATAAAGTTGTGGCCTTTTTCTTGCCCATTAACCTAATATACTGTGTCCATGTGTCTTCATTCCCCAAGCGGGGATCGGGTCCTCGAATCACAACTAAACGTTCTGTGATGACTTTATCCTTACACTATTATAATGACAGACTGTCATGAGTTGCACAAGGAAGCAGGCAAAAACATGTCATCTGGAAGCCCTCACTTCACAGCATGGTGAGAGTGGTTACCAGCCACAATGGCCATGATCTGCCTCCACAGTCGGATGCAGTAATGTTTCTGAATACCAGTTGCTGGAAAACACAGCAGGGGATTGTGCTCTTGTGCTGGCGCCCTGCTTGCTGCTTTTCCTCAGGTATTTGGTTGGCCACTGTGAGAACAGGATGCTGAATGAGCTGTGCTTCCTTGCATTGCAGGGGGTCGCTTCCAATTCTACAGTTCTATGATTCAATGGTTAGATGAGCCATTGGCTTGATCTAGCAGGCTCTTCTTATGTCTATCCAACCCATCTACTTTCTCCAGACCCTCCAGGCCATCTAGCCAAAGCTGATCTCATGGCAATTGGTAACAGGAGGGGTGGGGGGGCAAGTATCTTACAGCATCAGGATAAGGCAGCCAACAGCAGAACTTCCAACCGTTCCTATTTACCAGTTTCCCACTATGTCCCACATTTTTGGTCCATAGCCCTGGCAAATCACAGTTTGTGAATGAAGAGTTCTCATGGGTGGGGTGCTGCTGCTTCAGCAAGAGAGGAGGCTACTTTCACTGGTTTCTCCTCCATCACCCTCCCTGCCACATATTCCTCCATAAATGATGCTCTGCAGAGTTGAGGGACGTTCTGGTACAGGGTGGAATGTTGTGCTGGAGGTTACAGGAAGAAGGGATTCAATGAAAGCTTGCTTCTTCCCCATACCTCCACTCAGAGTCTCCAGTGGAGGTGCCTTCCATTTTCAGAGGGGACACAGTGGATTCAGCCCTCCGTTCCTAGTCTACCTCATCAACATGCTGATAGTGTGAGTTGCTAGATTTGCAGCTCTTCGGGGTTTCAACCCCTAACGATTAAATCTCTTACGTAGGTGGGAAGTATACAAATTCTCTGCTGCACATGCATGTAAGTGCCTGCACACGAACACACTAAGGTGTATTCAAGCTCAACGGTACTTACATCTGAGTAGATACACATAGGGTTGTTCTGTAATGCATACACCTTTGTGAAGCAATATGTAAATATTAGCAGTTATCTAACTAATATCTCTCACTGCAGATGGTGACAACAGTCACAAAATTAAAAGACTCCTGCTTCTTGGGAGAAAAGCAATGACAAACCTAGACAGCATCTTAAAAAGCAGAGACATCACCTTGCCAACAAAGGTCCGTATAATTCAAGCTATGGTTTTCCCAGGAGTGATGTATGGAAGTGAGAGCTGGACCATAAAGAAGGCTGATCGCCGAAGAATTGATGCTTTTGAATTATGGTGCTGGAGGAGACTCTTGAGAGTCCCATGGACTGCAAGAAGATCAAACCTATCCATTCTTAAGGAAATCAGCCCTGAGTGCTCACTGGAAGGACAGATCCTGAAGCTGAGGCTCCAGTATTTTGGCCACCTCATGAGAAGAGAAGACTCCGTGGAAAAGACCCTGATGTTGGGAAAGATGGAGGGCACAAGGAGAAGGGGACGACAGAGGACGAGATGGTTGGATAGTGTTCTTGAAGCTACCAGCATGAGTTTGACCAAACTGCGGGAGGCAGTGGAAGACAGGAGTGCCTGGAGTGCTCTGGTCCATGGGGTCACGAAGAGTCAGACACGACTAAACGACTAAACAACAATAACAATAACTAATATCTCCAGGAGCTTCCCATTTTTTCTTGTTACATCCACACAAACACTGTCCAAATCACCAACACACACACACACACACACACACACACACACATTTTGCCACCTGACAGTAGGGTGGTGGGAGGACATTTTGGCTCAGCGATCTATCTAGCTATCCATTCATCTGTGGCCATCTTTGACCATTTTTCTGCTCAAAAGCGTTGGCCTGAAAGCGCAGGAAAGCTCTCCCGCAGAAATGCTCTTGAACGAGGTCAACGCAGGACTGAAACAGCAGAGGAGAAGCCGAGCCAGAAATGCATAGAATTTGTGTCCCTCCTTGCAAAGGCTTGCACATTAAAGAGATGGATATTTAAGCATAAAGATGTGGGTGAATGTGCAAAGTGAAAATGGAAAGCAGGCATGCCCGGTGAATGTCGGGACCATTCATGGCGAAATCTATTAGAAAGATGGCTTTTGCAGACACTGAAATAATCCCATGCTGGTTGTTCTGAAATGTTTGGTGACTGAATTCCATCAGTTCAGTGTAAGAAATCAGTTCCACCCCCCCAGTGGGGCTGTGCTTCGAATACAAAGCCAACACTTAATGTAATAGGCAGCAATAGACAGTATTGATGTCCTGTTTGGTATTGCCTTTTCAGATTTGGACCCAAATACATAATACTGATTAGACATGTCATAATAGGAGGATATGCTCTTTGCAGCATTCAATGATATTCATCATAGGTCCCCATTTCATTTCGTTTATATCATTTGTTGCTGTGAAACCTGGAAAATAACATTCTAGTGCCAATGTAGTTTCTATTACCTCTTTTATATGGAATGTATTCTAAATATTATATTGTATATTTGTATCACCCCTTTTAGATTATAATGGAAATGTGATTTCTATTACCTCTTTTCTATCCTGCGAATCCAGTCCAGAGCTTGCCTAACCTTTTGCCATTTTTTGTTATTATTCTTTTTTTTAAATAAAACAAGCAAACAAATTCATTCTCCAGTAATATCTATCCATCGATCCAGTGCTATTTTTCTAGAAAAATAGGTGCAGGAACTCGCCATGAACACTTCCCTTGTTCTCTTATAATGGTGCTCACTTGAGTGCTGGAACTAAGTTGCGGCAAGTGCCAGCTGAAACAAAGCCCTGCACCTATCAATCCATTCCAGGGTTGGAAAATCTGTGGTCCTCCAGATAATGCTGGACTGCAATTTTCATCTGCCTTAACCATTGCCCATGCTTGGCTGGCTGTACTTAGTGGAAGAAAACCCTGAATCCCAAAACTAAGAAGGGATCTCTCTGAAGATCAAAATGAATCCCAGTGATTTGGAGATTCAGACATTCCAAAAGCTGTGTGTACAGTTTGTATATTATTAATATTAATACTTGTTGTTGTTTAGTTGTTTAGTCATTTAGTCGTGTCCGACTCTTCGTGACCCCATGGACCAGAGCATGCCAGGCCCTCCTGTCTTCCACTGCCTCCCACAGTTTGGTCAGACTCATGCTGGTAGCTTCGAGAACACCGTCCAACCATCTCGTCCTCTGTCGTCCTCTTCTCCTTGTGCCCTCCATCTTTCCCAACATCAGGGTCTTTTCCAGGGAGTCTTCTCTTCTCATGAGGTGGCCAAAGTATTGGAGCCTCAGCTTCACGATCTGTCCTTCCAGTGAGCACTCAGGGCTGATCTCCTTAAGAATGGATAGGTTTGATCTTCTTGCAGTCCATGGGACTCTCAAGAGTCTCCTCCAGCACCATAATTCAAAAGCATCAATTCTTCGGCGATCAGCCTTCTCGATGGTCCAGCTCTCACTTCTATACATCACTAGTAGTAATAGTAATAATGGTCCAGCTCTCACTTCCATACATCACTAGTAGTAATAATAATAATGATGACTCTCTTATTTTAACATATTGCATTATTTCCCCCATTATAGATATAAAACAATCAAAAATACTTCAGCTGGTAGACCTTCCAGTTGAGGCAGTTTAGTCTGACCTTATTCAGTAACTCACATTTGTAGCTCTTAGATAACAACCCAGAGATCAAGAAGCCAAATATTTCTGCAGCTGGAAATGTATCAACACAATAATAGAAAGCAGCTACTTTCTTAACTCTAGAGCAGAGCTTTCCGAACAGTGTGTTGCAACACATTCGTGAGTCCGCTGCAGTGTGTGACATGAATGCTCCCCGTGCTCCTTCCGGGGCTGGAAAGGGGATAGTTTAACCTCTGGTTTGCTAGTGAAACTGAATTACTGTGTCATGAAATGATGCATGTCTTTAAAAGTGTGTCACCAACATGAAAAGTTTGGAAAGCTCTGCTCTAGAGGCATGGTGGGATATACTATGGAACATAGCCCTTTCAGAGAAACTAGCAAAGCATCTTAGAGCACTAAGGAACTCAAAGACCAAAGATTATTTTGAAAATGTATGGTACATGTTTATTCAATACACTAGATAGGACAGTGTTGTTCCCTCACCACCAGCTACCATTGGCTCTCTCTGGGACAAGCTGTTAAGACATAGAGTAGAGATGCAGAAGACGCTGTGGTCTAAACCATCAAACCTCTTGGACTTGCTGATCAGAAGGTCAGTGGTTCGAATCCCCTTGACAGGGTGATCTCCCGTTGCTCTGTCCCAACTCCTGCCAACCTAGCAGTTCGAAAGCATGGCAGTGCAAGTAGATAAATAGGTACCATTGTGGCAGAAAGGTAAATGGCATTTCCGTGTGCTCTGGTTTCTATCAGTGTTCCATTGCACCAGAAGCGGTTTAGTCATGCTGGCCACATGACCCAGAAAGCTGCCTGTAGACAAACACCAGCTCCCTTGGTCTGAAAGTGAGATGAGCGCCGCAACCCCATAGTCGCCTTTGAATGGACTTAACCATCCAGGGGTCCTTTACCTATGTACCTTTGACCTTTTTAAAGACATGGAGTAGAAGATGCTTAACTGATATAATCAGCTCTAAACCATTATGCAAACCTGCTTCCCGTTTGACTGCATCATTTGAACTGTATAGGCATGAAATGCTTTTGGGGGGTTGGTTGTATGTGGAGATTTTTTGTTAGAAGTATTTTTCAGAAACTGAAAAATAAAGTTAGAATATTTTAAGGTTGATCGTTGGGTCCAGAGCACACTCCCCATCCGCAGGCAGCCTCAGCCTGCCTGCACACGTGACCTTGTGGTGTGGGGCACACTCCCCCTCACAGACAAAGCCACAGCTGTCTGAACATCATGCCCTCTGTCTAACCTTTTGCGGTCTCAGTAATCTGCGGTGCCCTGTCTGTAACCTTTGTCTCTGAGACCTTTTGTCTCCTTCATCATACACTGTGCAAGGGGAAAATGACGCGGTGGAAACTGGTGCCAAAATAACCTTGTACCACCCCACGATATCGGGACTGGAAGATGTGTAAAGGTCACTGCCCAAAATGTATCTGCCTGGGTTTGCGTATTTGTGTCAATAAAAGGAGGCTCCACAGAGCTAGCCGGCAGCTTGCTTGCAGCTCACCTGCATTATCAACTCCTGCCTCATGTCCCTCACTTCAGAATATATTTATAATAAGTCCAATATGGATGGCTTTCAATGAGGATTAGACAAATTCAGGGTACCAATAGGTAATAGCCATGATGACGATCTATTGCCTACAGTATCAGGCAGCATGCATCTACATACCATTTGCTGATCATCGTGCGTAGTAGAGCTCTGTTGTGCTCACGCCATGCTTGTGGGCTTCCCATTTGGGGCTGGATGGCCACTGTAAGAACAGAATGCTGGACTAGATGGGCCTTTGGTCTGATTCACTTGGGCTCTTCTTGTGTTCTTAGAAGAAAACGAAGCACAATTAGCAAAGGTGCTTAATGGTGAGGCCCAACTTCATTTCACCATCCCATCAATATGAGGAGGAAAATCTGCTTTTATAAGACAGGTTGTGTGTGTGTGTGTGTGTTGTTTTTTTTACTCTGAGAAATAAAAACAGAATGTCAGCAGCTTTTATTATTATAGCTCTAGGGAACTAAATTGGAATCTTTTAAGGTAAAGGCATTCAACCATTAAAGCGTATCTGTTTATGGTTATAGAAAAATGGAATAGAGGATCTTTAGCATATACTGTATTCATAGTGTCATCAAAATGTTCATTTCAGGTCCTGGAGGTTTATTAAGTTGCCTTTATGAGTTAGGGGTGCATAGACAGGTTTGAGAAACAAGGTCATTTGAGAAGCCAAATTGCTCCGTGATGAGAGAACAGCTCTCCATACCAAGCTTTTGGAAGGATTGTAGCATTGAACCAATTGCTTTCTGCCACCCATTGCCATGGTTTGGGCATGATTCTGGTCACGGCTACGGAAACACTGGAAGTGCCATTTTATTCCACCTGAAGCAGAATTTCAAAGCAAATGTGAACGCATCTGTGTAGATAAATCTCCCTAGAAATTTCAGGAAAGGTTCTTTAAACATTTGCTGGTCATTTTCTGGCATGTACTGCATAAATTCCCCAGTTTTATGTGAAGTGAAATTTCAAGGGGATTTAAGGGGTGGGTTTCTTTTCTCCACAGAGAGGGACACCTGGCATCTTCACTGCACAACTTTCGTCATATGAGGAAGAAGCACCACTTTATCCTGGCCTTTGACACCTTAGAAATATGTATTTAAGGGCCAGCCCTATTCTTCTGATTGCACTTTTTAATACTGTACAGTGGTACCTCAAGTTACAAACTCCTCAGGTTACAAACACTTTGGGTTACAGACTCCGCTAACCCGGAAGTAGTACCTTGGGTTAAGAACTTTACCTCAGGATGAGAACAGAAATCATGTGCTGGTGGCGCGGCAGCAGCGGGAGGCCCCATTAGCTGAAGTGGTGCCTCAGGTTAAGATTGGTTTCAGGTTAAGAACGGACCTCCGGAACGAATTAAGTTCGTAACCAGAGGTGCCACTGTGTCTTAATACTGTTGGAATCCATCCTGGGACCTTATAGTGAAGGATGAGCAAGAAATCCTGAGGACGATGCTGATGCTGATACCAGGCCAGGTTCGAGGTTCCTGTATTAATTTGCAAGGCTCTTAGCAATTTGGATCCAGGATACCTCAAGGGCTGCCTAATCTCTTTTATTGCTACCTGTCACATACCCTCCTACATTTCTCCAATGAATATAAGGATGTCCTATTCAATAATAACAATAACAATAATTTTATTATTTATACCCCACCCATCTGACTGGGTTGCCCCAGACACTCTGGGCGACTTCCAACTTATATAAAAACATAATAAAACATTAAACATTTTTTTAAAAAAACCTTCCCTATACAGGATTGCATTCTGATGTCTTCTGAAGGTTGTATAGTTACTTATCTCTTGGGCTCGAGGCTCGCATGACTCCATACCCTCCAACATTTCTCCAACGATTTGACCCCGGAATGTCCTGCCTTCCCGTGGGGCTTATCTGACTTAAACACTTCGTTCAATTGGTGGTATTGTAACCAATTCGTCACCTGATTTCTGGCGTCTTCTAGTTTATTCAATTTTATCTCTTGATCTGAAAAGTCCCAAAGGCCTCTGTTTGTTGCCCAGGTAGGTTTAGAAGTGTCTGTCTGAACTCTCCAGTTTTTAAACAGGGAGTCTCTCCTGGCCCTACTCGGAGGTGCCACTGAATTTGGGACTTTCTATATGAAAATGATGCACTCTACCACAGAGCTACAGCCTCCCTGCGAGAGCACAAATTAAAAAGTTCTTGAGGATATTACGTTATGAGTAATAACCTACCTATGAAATATGCCTTAAAAAGCATAGAGAGTGCAAGCATGCCCTCAGATTATTTAAGAAAATTGTATGTTTAGTTTACCAACAATTACGAATAGTGCTCCATGTGGTATACCGGGTCAGCTGGTAGAATAACAGTTTTCTCTGAATTCCCCTCCCAGGAATTCGAGAGCATGACTTAACTGTGGTTGTGGTATTGAAAACCTTCATTTGGAACATGCTTTTACTGCCCTTTCCAACAACCTTTCCAAATTCATGAAATGCTAAATATCCCCAGATGCATAATGAACATCTGTGGTAAAAACTGCCTTATTATGGCTTGTCTGGAGCTGTTTATTACACAGTTGCAGTTCTTTGAAACTCATTAGTTAGCTTCATTTTTTGAAGTCATCTGCTAAATAAACTTGGCTGGGTTCTACGAACATCATCAGAGGCAGCAGTTCAAAAGGGGTGGATTTTCTTTGGGCTGTGAAGATTTACAGAATATAATTGCAACATAGGGAATCGTGTTCATCTGACTTCACTGAGGAAATTGTATGGGATTTTTTTTCCAGCCAATTACACCTGAACTCTAGCGGAGCAGACTCCCATCTACCACATGGATAGTCAATCTCTTTTCTCCCCACCCCAATGGTGCTAATGTGCAAACACACAAGTATACCACATGCACAATATATATGAAAAAAACCCAAGTTGATTTGCTTCAGAGAGCCAGTGTGGTGTGAGAGCAAGTGTGGTGTAGTGGTTAAAAGCGGTGGACTCGTAATCTGGTGAACCGGGTTCGGTTCCCCACTCCTTCACATGCAGCTGCTGGGTGACCTTGGGCTAGTCACACTTCTCTGAAGTCTCTCAGCCTCACTCACCTCACAGAGTGTTTGTTGTGGGGGAGGAAGGGAAAGGAGATTGTAAGCCGCTTTGAGACTCCCAGGGTAGTGATAAAGCAGGATATCAATTCCAAACGCCTCCTCCTCCTCCTCCTCCTCCTCCTCCTCCTCCTCCTCCTCCGCCTCTTCTTCTTCTTCTTCTTCTTCTTCTTCTTCTTCTTCTTCTTCTTCTTCTTCAGAATTCTTTGCTATTCATCTGTTAGTTTTCCTGCACATCCACTCCTGCAAATCTTGACCCAACAGAGTGTGCAATTGCACCCAAAGTTGCCTTTTTGCAACATTCAGCCAGTGCACACAAATGTTCCTGCACACCAGTAAAGCCCTACACAGAGAGATCTTTGAAGCTCTTAACCACTACACTACACTGGTGGTAGTAGAATTTGAAAGAGGAAAGCTATGGTCCTTTCTCCTGAGCAAACCTGCAATGAAAGGGTTAAAGAACATAACAAACACTTCCCGGAAAAGTTCATTGGGAGGAGGGGGAAGAACCCAGGCAGATAAGCACCTGGAAAACTGAGACAGCAGGCTTTCTGTTAAGTATGTGACAGAAATTTCTCCGCTGGAGGTAAGGAAGATAGAGACTCTTCTAAATTATGTTTCCTGGGAGTGTTGCTAAGGCATACTTACACATATTCTATGAGGTAGAAAATTAGCACTTTAAATTGTTATGGTTACATATGCAGTAAAGTGTAAGTGTTTGCAGTTTTTCAAAAGTTTGCCTATGGTTTATCACACAGTTTGCCCACTGAGAAGAAAATTTACCTGCTGTAAAATGATGAAGCAGCTCAGGGGTTAGATGGAAACCGCTGCGAACTCTTAACTCCAAACCTCTGAAATTTCCTTAGGGATGAACAAGTTCCACGTACGTGAGATCGCCGAGGCTGATATATTGCTTCCCTTTTTCTCTTTGTAAACATTGCCGGCATGGAATGAAAAATGACAAAACCAGGCAGGTAGAGGGAAAATGACTTCTTGAAAAAAATCGGTTTAGAAATTAACCAAAACTATTGATTTGATTTTTGAACATCTGCACTCTTCCTTGAGAGAAACAGTTCTCCTGTACCTATTCTTCCCATGTCTTTGTTCATTTTTTCCCACATTTGCAAGTACTTGGAACATTTTGAAAGCAGTCCTTTGCTAAATTATGTTTTTTGCACCAATTGCCTCCACCTTCTTGCCATTTCTTTTCCTGCTGTGTTGTACAGCCCTTCCTCTGCTTCTTGAGAATCAGAGGTGGGGAGCTCGATCTGGCAGGCTGGTCAGGCCCCTAATTCTCCCCTCCCCCCACACACCATGGGCCAATTTTGACATCTGGACAGGATCGTCCACCTGTCAATCTCCTGACATCATCATGACATCAGAGGATTGAAGCTGTAGCTGCTGATCAGCTGGTGGGTGGTTGCAGTGACCTGTGAAGATGCACTTTCTCTGCACCTTGAAACAGGCTTGCCGTAACCAGTTATTCAATGCTTGGAGCCCTTTGGAAGATGATATGGAGGATGCAATTTGGATTCAAGCGCCTTCTCCCAAGTGAAGCATGCTCACCTCTGCAGGCACCTGAAAATTCTTGTTTGGTGGAAGGGCTCTGAATCCAAATCGCTCTCTCCAAAGGGAGAATGTGAGTCCCCTTGGCTGTCCTGGGGGGTTCCCAGCTCCCTAGTAGAGCTGATCCCAGTGGGGTTGCCTGTCAGTACCGATCAGCTGATTGACAGGGACAAGCAGCCTCGCTTGCAAAGGAAGAACCAGGAGCTCGCCTGCAGCTCCAAATGGTTCATTCTCAGCTTTCCCACACAGTGCCAGATTTATGTATAAGCTAAACAAGCTACAGCTTAGGGCCCCACTCTCTTGGGGGCCCCAAAAAATTTAAAGGGGAAAAAACTGGATGTACATTTCCAAAATATAAGATAAAAAACAAATAAAATAAAACCTACATATAGCAACAGTGTTTTGTGTTGTGTAATGGGTCCTGACTGCTAGCCTGCTCCCTAAAATATCACTGGTTTGCTCATTTCTATATACAGGGTGCCAACATTCTGCATGGACTGGCTGCATGACAACATGTGCAATTTAGATACCTATTAGGCCCATAAATTACCATATAGCATATAAAGGTAAAGGGACCCCTGACCATTAGGTCCTGTCAAGGACGACTCTGGGGTTGCGGCGCTCATCTCGCTTTATTGGTCGAGGGAGCCGGCATACAGCTTCCGGGTCATGTGGCCAGCATGACTAAGCCACTTCTGGCGAACCAGAGCAGTGCACAGAAACGCCGTTTACCTTCCCGCTGGAGTGGTACCTATTTATCTACTTGCACTTTTGATGTGCTTTCGAACTGCTAGGTCGGCAGGAGCAGGGACCAAGCAACGGGAGCTCAACCCGTCGTGGGGGTTCAAACCGCCAACCTTCTGATCAGCAAGCCCTAGGCTCTGTGGTTTCACATATAGTCAACACAAAAAAACCAGCAACAATTTGTTGTTGACAAAGGACAGCTGGACATATAAAGGGCCTCATTACCTTCAGTAGCTTAGGGCCTCATCAAACCTAAATCCAGCCCTGGTCCCACATATTACATCGTAAGTGGTTTGCAAGGAATGGCCTCGCAAGCCATTCTCTCCCTGCCATTGGGGTCAGACCACCCTCTGCAAGAAATTAGGCTGGAGGTGCTTTGAGCCCTGGTGCTCATAGCCTCAAACTCCCTCCCCCCCTCTCCTGGTTCTATAGACAGAAAGACACAACTGAATACCACCTTCAAAGCTGGACTGGTGTCCACCACTATTTTCCCTCTTGGTTCTTCCCTCTTCACATATACACATTTTGGGGTCACGTTTCCTTAATATATACAGTTTTGGATGCATTTTTCTTGTTATTGGAAAGCTACACTGCGAAATTTAGAGAAGCGCATGTTTAGAAGGTCAGCTGTGTTTCAATTTGCACATTTCTTTTAGGAGCTGCAAATTTTAATGAGAGCCAAACAACTTCCTCCCTCATCCTCACAAGTAGCAGTGCCACCTATTATTATTATTATTATTATTATTATTATTATTATTATTATTATTATTATCATACATTAACCTTTAATAACTACATAGATCTCTTTTTCCCCGTGGGGTTTGTTTTTTTCTGGGGGAGATTTATTTTTAGAGAACACCTACACGGATTATGAATTGCAAGTAGAATGGCACTTATTAACACCATTCCCTATTAAATGCTTTTGAACCTTATCCAATATGCTTTGTCGGTAAGCGGAAATCCCAACTTCTAAATGTATTTGCTTTTTCCCAGGCACCCAGCAGAGGGGGTGGGGAGTCTCTTTGCGGAGGCCCTAACAGTGGCATCTCCCTTGGTGGAGATGGAATATTATGTTGAACATGCTTAAAACAGGATGTTTTATGGAGTAATGTCATTTGCAGAAACAGAGAGGTGAGAAGTGGCTCCCTGATTTCCATATAAAAATAGTCTGAAGGCACATATGGGAATGTGTTAAGGAGATAACAATGCCCAGGGGGGTGTTTGAGTTGCAAAGATACTTATTCCGCAGCTGAGATGCCCCCAGAATTGAACATCTCCTTTTAAGGCAGCGGCATGGGAGCAAATCCATCACGGCAAAGAGAGAACAGAGATGAGAAAACGAGGGTGCAGTGATTAGAAGCTGAACCATTTGGACCGCTTTTGTATTTGGAAAGAGTTATAAAGTGAGGGGTCGACGCATTATGGCTTCTGTTTATGAAACACCCGCTTCCCAACATTCTGTTCCACTCCCCCAGCATCCTGTCAGTGTGGTGTAGTGGTTAAGAGCGGTAGATTTGTAATCTGGGGAACCGGGTTCACTTCCCCGCTCCTCCACATGCAGCTGCTGGGTGACCTTGAGCTAGTCACTCTTCTCTGAAGTCTCTCAGCCCCACTCACCTCACATAGTGTTTGCTGTGGGGGAGGAAGGGAAAAGAGATTGTGAGCTGCTTTGAGACTCCTTTGGGTAGTGATAAAGCGGGATATCAAATCCAAACTCTTCTTCTCTTCTTCTGTCACTCTCTGGTGTGACAAAAAAACAGTATGAAGCAGATGAAAGGATGGGAAATGCAGAGATGGGCTAGCTTGTTACTCAGCAGCTCTGGCATGTGTTACCAGAGAGGCGCTAGGGTCCCTGAAGATAATGGCTTCTTAGAGACCAGCACAAACACAGTTAGGTATTGCCTCATCTATAGAGAATGGTCCTTGGAGATGTGCACATCAATACAGCTGGTGGAACCGTCCTAATGTCTTCTCCTACTGACCCAGCGAAGGAGGTAAGGAATGACACCAGCCAGGAGGCAGCGTCCACTCCTAAATCATCTTCCGATGCATCTGGTGAAAACAAAGCACAAACATTTGCAAGCTCTCACCACTTGGGAATCCCAGTTACTGTTACACAGAAACTCGCAGTGGAGACAGGGCACAGCCATCATGTCTTTTAAAGACTTCCAAGTAGGTGGCCATTCCTGCCTCTCATGGAAGCAAATTCCACATTTTTAAGAATAATAATAATAATACAGTGGTACCTCTGGTTGCGAACGGGATCCATTCTGGAGGCCTGTTCGCAACATGAAAAGAGCGCAACCTGAAGTGCCGTATCTGTGCAGGTGCACGGTGTAATTTGGTGCTTGTGCGCATGCGCAAAACACGATTTAGCGTTTCTACACATGCGCAAGCGCCAAAACCCGGAAGTAACCCTTTCTGGTACTTCCAGGTCGCTGCTGGACATAACCTGAAAGAACGTAACATGAAGCAAACGTAACATGAGGTATGACTATACCTTTATTGTCAATGTACAACCTGTGTACAATGAAATTAACCAAGCCTCCCTCCCGCTCCCCCACAAACTATGAGCTGTGGGGAGAAACACTTCCTTTTGTCTCACCTGAATCTTCTAACTTTCAGCTTCATTGAATGGCTCTGAGTTCTAGAAGCACAGGAGAAGGGGAAAGATTTCTCCCTATCCATTCCCCCCCCACACACACCAGTTGTACTTTTTACACACCTCCTGCATGTCCCGTTACCCACCTTCCCCCTCCCAAAAAACTAAAAAGGCCCAAGTATTTCTTCATACGGGATTTTCGCCAGCCCCTTAATAATTGTTGTTGCCATTTTCTGCAGCTTTCCCAGTTTTCCTTTTTTTAACATGCAGAGACCAGAAGTGTACACAATACTGAAAGGGCATTTGTAAAGCAGCATTAATACATGGTCAGTTTTATTTTCAATCCCTTTTCCTAATGATGCCTAGCGTGGCATTTCCCCTTTTCACAACTGCTGTTCTCTGGGTTGACATCTTCGCTGAGCTATCCGCCACAACCCCAGAGTCTTATTTCTGACACCACCAGTTCATTATACACCGTTGGGCACCAGGCGAAAATGTTCCTCTTCAACCAGAGGGAGGGGGTTATTGGTTTATTTTTGTCCCTATTTTTATTATGTATTTTGTGTTTTTCATATTGTCATTTTATGTTGTGAAACACTCTAAGATGTACAGATGAAGGACGTATAGACATTTAATAAATAAGAATATGAAAGAAAGAAGTCTGGGGGATTTTACCCAGACCTTTGACCATTAAATAATCAATGGCTTATTAAAGCAGGGGTGGGACTATTATTATGATTATTTTATTATTATGCTGCCTATTATGATGCTTTGTATTATGGTATTATTATTATTATCATCATCATCATCATCATCTGTAAAATGTGTTCTTAATGCTGTTCACCACCCTGGGATCTTTTGAATAAAGGGCAATATAGAAATCAAAAGAACAACAACAACATTTGTTTACCTTGAACAGCATTTGCCATTTGACTGCCTATTCACCCAATTTGGAGAGATCCATTTGGAGAGCTTCACAACTGTGTTTTTTTTTTTTACCACTCTAAACAATCCGGGGTCCTCAGCAAACCTGGCCACATTATCACTCACTGAAGTGAAGGCATAAGACAGGTGTTGATCATCATGTGAGCTGCGCACAGGTGACCAGTCCGTTGGAGCCTCATTTTATTGAGACAAATATGCAAGCCGGGCAAATACA